CGAACTTCAGGCTCCAGGTCCAGGGTGTCCAACCTGTGACCTGCAGGCTGCATGCGGTCCAGGATGGCTGTGAATGTCGCCCAACACAAAACTGTAAATTTACTTAAAATATTATGAGATTTTTTTGCTTTCATTAGCGTTTGTGTACTTAATGTGTGGCCCAAGACAACTCTTCTTTTTCCAGTGTGGTCCCGAGATGCCACAAGGTTGGACACCCAACACTTCGGCCTGTGTGTGTTAGGGGTGGGGTAGCGGAGAAGGGCCACAGATGTCACTGGGAACCTCGTCCTAAGCACGAACACTGCTCCCTTCTCCCCAGGCTAAATCCGAATGGGGACAGAGATGCACGGCGTTGGTCTCCCTCCCGCCCCATCCACAGCCCCAGCCTCCCAGGGCAGAGGGCAAGTGGAATGAATTCTTGGACAGGTCCTGTTTAGGTCCCTGACAACAGTTGGCCCTACTTAACCTTCACCCTTATTACTGTCCTTTCCTCCAGATGAGGAATTTGAAGCTCAGAGAGATTAAACCAACAAGCCAAAATGAGGGCAGCTGCTGAGTGTGTAAGTCAGGTGCCTTGGCTCCCTACGTTCAGAGTTTGGCCCCCGGAAGAATGCACTTGGACGTGGTTCTCTTGGCAGGTGGGCCAACACTGTGCTGAGAGGGAGCAGAGGGGCGATTCATTTCCCGACTGGTACGGAGCCCTGGACTCTCTGCCAGGCCTCATGGGGATTTGCCCAAACCCCGGTCAGGAGGCTTCTGCAGGCTATGTCCACTGTTTCCCTGGTGAATTGACCGTGAAGCTTCCCGAGAGCAGAGCTGGGGCCAGGGACTCTGTGACTGGAGCAGACGAACTGCTTGGTGGGAGTGTGCAGGAGTTTTAAAGGCAGGTGCCTGCCTCGCCCACAGGCCCGAAGTTCTTAAGGCCCCATTGCTTCGGAGTCTGGAAATCTGGTTCCACTCCTAGAATACGTTAGGATGAATGCAAAAGATGACGCAGGCAGCTGTTTTAAAAGAATGAAGAACATTTATATGTACCAATAAGAAAGGATTATGGTTAATTTTCAAAAGCAAATTAAGAACAGTATATGGCCTTGGCCAGGTCAGTTGCTTGGAGTGTCACCAAAAGGTTGTGGGTTCTACCCCTGGTCAAGGCACACACCTAGGCTGCAGGTTTGATCCCCAGTTGGAAAGCACATGGGAGGCAACCAATCAGTTTCTTTCTCACACTGATGTTCCTCTCTTTCTCTCTGAAATCAGTAAATATATCCTAGGCTGAGGATTAAAAAAAGGAAAAGTACATGAAGATCCTACTTGTGAGTGTGCTTTAAATACACATAATCAGACATATATGCAGACACACACACCACAGACCCCATATGCAGATACCACACCCCCATGCCTTCCCCTTCCCCGTCTCCCCGCAAGCCCCTCTGAATACGGTGTTGAACCCAACCTGGCAGGGAACACCAAGCACTAGACCATTAACAGCTACTTCTGGAAAGAGAGGTAGTAAGTGAGCTTACAGGTGAAGAAACTTTTACTTTTTAATTTTTACTATACAAGGATGGGCAAAAGTAAGTTTATAGTTGTGAGTACACAAAACACAGTTTATCCTTGTATTATTATTTATTGATTATTGTATTATGTATTTGAATTACAACTGTAAACTTACTTTTGCCCAACCCTGTATATATTTCCATATTATTAGAATTTTTTACATTGATGTTGTCATTTCATAGCTTAAGGAAAAACGGATTCTTTAAAACATAATGAATATGAGCAGACGCTGTGACCATTCCCCACGAATGTGTGTCTAAGACTACAGAACTGCCTCAGCGGGGCCGGGGTCTTGGAAGGCAGCAGGAGGAGCTGGGACTTGCTTCCTGGCCTGATGGTCCTGGGGAGTCGCCGGGGGCGGGGGCGGGGGCAGCCTGAGATGTCTGCGGAGCCCCTGAGCCGTTGCTGTGGTTGTGGTGTCAGAAGTGTGGGAGCAGAGCCTTGGTGGAGGTAAGCAAGTGTGCCCCCGCTGGCCCCCCCGGATTTTGGCGTTGGACCTGAACTTTCAGGTGTAGGAGTCCCTTAGGCAGCTGACCTCTGCTCTCCACTGGGGTGGGGGAGGGGCGAAGCGCGCCAGGTAAAGGGGAAGGCGGGCCCTCCATCGCCGGCTGGCCTGCAGCAGTCCCCTCGAAGGATGCTTACATCCTCCTGCTTTCCCTGAAATCCATCTGCCCCCTACGGATCCCTACGTTCCCTGCCACCAAGTCACAGCGAACAGGCAGCCATCCTTTCTTGCTGCAGCAAGTGAATTCTCTCTGTTCTTTTTTGCCTTTGTGCCGCCTTTGCTTTCACCCTCGGTTTACTCTAGGAGCAGCCTGGAGTGTTTGAGGGAACCTGCTTTGCCCTTGACGGTGGAGGGTCACCTGAAACAGGCAGTACCTCCGGGCAGGGCTGGCCTGAGTAAAGTGGTCCCTGGGGAGGAGGCTGGGCAGCCCAAGGGTCCTGGGCACCTGGGCGGGGCCTTTGAGGGAAAGGAGAGCGCAGGTGGAAGGATGAAAGATGCTGAGGAAAGCGGGGAAAGCCTGGGGTCACTTGCAGACCACCCTTCTCCACCTGCCCGCGACTAACCCACCTCCCCTGGACCTGAACCATGCCAGCTCTGGGTGCCCCCTTCCTTAGTCATACAAATGTCTCTGGTAAAACCATGGAGTATCACCCTTAGTGTCTGATCATTATGGGACACTAGATGATTCGGGAACAAAGCCAACCTTTTGCCATCTTGTGGAGGATTCTACTTAAGAGCACCTGCTTTGGAGTCAAAAAATGTCAGTTTAGAGACGAGCTGCCCCCTTCAGAACTGTAATCTCTGAGCTTCGGTTTCCCCATGAACAATGTGGCACTAATGATGCCTATTTATCAGGGTGTGTTGTGAAGACTGAAATAAACTGTGGGAGTGAGGCATTTAACCAACGCCTGGCTTGTAATCGCTCAGTAGCAACCAAATGTCCCGGCTCCGCGCGAGGCTGATTTCTGGTCTAACAGGACCATAGCGCCACCTTGTGGTTACCGTCTCTCAGAACAGCTGGTTAATCCTACTCCAATCCAATACCGCTGTTCCAAAGCTGAAGGGCAGGTGGTGCTTAGTAAAGCTCAGTTATGTAAAGTCGGTAACGGTAAGTACGTGTTGGTGTCTCGCAGAGCATCTTCATAAATCTTAGAAGGAGGTGCGGGAGGAGCATCATTTGGGAGGACCCTTCCATCAAAGAGATCCCCTTCTGATCTCTCATCACTGTCCACACACTCCAGGGTTCCCAGCTTTAGGGGTGAACAGGCAACAAGGTTTTGTTGGCTTTAGAACAGGGCAAGAGAAGCATAATCAGAAGGAAAACTTAGTTTCAAAGCCTCTGCCTCCTCAGTTTGCTGTTGCACCCCTAATCACCACCTCTTCCAAAATGGTGACCCCCCCATTCTGTCTCCCTTTCCTTATTACCGCAAATTCCTATATAAACACTTATATAAATTGTAAATCTCATTCTGCGCCTCAGCACTACCATGCTCTATATGTGGCTCATTTACCATTTTTGTCTTATTTGAATGGAATCTCCGAGGGCAGGGATTTCAGTGTTGTTTTATTGCTATACCCTCGACACGTTAAACAGCGCCTGACTCATAGTACATGTTCAGCTGTTTGTTGATTGAATGAAGGAAAGACTGAAAAATGAAGGTGGAGTCTGAGACGGGAAAACTAGAGCAGCTCTCTCAGCATGCCCCTGGATTTAACACGAAAACTCATTTCTAAGGCAGAAAAGGAGCTCCCTGCAGACAGGGCTGGTTTCATGAGCTGTGACCAGCGCCGTCACGCAGGCCCCACATGTCCAAGGACCTGGCGTTCAGCGGGGCTGGGCGCTGGAGTTGCCTGCTCCGCAGCTGCAGTTTGGAAATTCTAAATAATTATATCTTTGAATTCATTTTGTAAGTCAAGTTCCATGGACAATAATGGTACATGAGTGGGGGCTTAGGACCTTAGGCCATCGCGCAATGTAGAAGGTGAATAGTAAAATCCATGCTAATAATTCAATTTTTTTTTTCTTCACGTTGAAAATTAATTAGCAAACACCACCACAATAAACAGAGACCTTGGAAGAAAGGACAAGGCTTTCTACTTACCTTTAATGCTACTTGTTCCCTGCTTTTTGAACATGGAGCCCCACATTTTTATTTTGCACTAGGTCCTGAAAACTGTACTCAGCATTTGTATCAAAGTGGTCATTAGGGTTATCTGTGGGTACACCATAAAGGCATGGTAATCAGTTTCTGATTGTGTTTGGGTAATATCAGTTGTCTTTAAGAAACTACATTACCAACTGGATAGTAAACCCATAATAAAATACCTAACAAAGGAGCTATCTTCCCATTATTAACCCCTCATAACTTAGTCTTATTAAGCTAAAAGGCTTAGTTAGCACTGCTAGGAGAACATCACATGAAATATGTGGTAGGCACAGCAAGGACTGCTAATTCCTATTAAAAGTCAGACTTAAAATATAATCCATCAAAACCAAAGTAAGTTTCTTTCAAGGGTCGGGGATCTATTCCAACAAATTTTAGATTAGATCGGGTTTCTCAAGCATGGCACCGGTGACATTGTGTTGTGAGGGCTGTCCTGTGCCTTGTAGGATGTTCAGCGGCATCTCTGGCCTCTACCGACTGCGTTCAATAGTACCCTCCCCCAAGCATTACAATTTAAAATGTCTCCAGATATTGCAACAGTCCTCTGGGGGGCAAAATAGCCCCCAGCAAAGAACCACTGGCGTGCCTGGATTAGCGAGATGGGCAGCAAAGTCCCATCACACAAGCTCCTGCGAGCACGCAGCCGGCTTCTCCTTCCCGCCCTCCGATGCCTATGAATCACACCCACACAGATGCCCTCCAGCTAAGAGGTCAGAAATGCAAGAGACACAAATATAGGAAAACTAAAGAATTCTTTTATTCAGTGAGGAGATGAGGAAATGACAGCCAGCTTTATATCGTTAGATAGAATACAAAGGAAAAAAAACACAAACATCACGGGAATGGGTTTTTGCAGGTGACAGATTTGCACTACAGAGCAATGGGATATCGAAGCAGTATCTCTAAGCTTGTCATGGCATAGTATTAGTGACCAGTTCATATCCATTTAGGTTTTCTAAGCTCTAGAATACTTAAAACCTCAGACTTTAAATTTTAAATCTAGACATGACCATTGTAAGCACACCACTCTGTCATTTAAAACTGCTCAGTAAATGCTACTCCCAGGTAAAGATTTTTGCCTGACATTATTTTCTCCGACATTCAGAATGTAGCATCTCATGTTCCAGTAGTAATCACACACAGGATTAAAAGCCCAACCAAGAAAGTGTCATTCTTTCTATAAAGTGTTCTTTTAAAAAAAAATAATAAACGTATGAACATTTTGTACAATTATTGCTGAAGAACAGCAAAGGCAATTCCAAAATAGCATGCTTACTGTACAAAAAGGCATGGCTCACAGAACCAGGTATATATATCACAGCCACAGCAATTGAATATCAGTCTTTAAGGGGCTGGCAATATTAAACACCACACGCAGCTCTGTGTCTCCTGCTAGGCTAGCGCATGCCCAGAATCTGTCTGCTTTTCAGCTGGTAATTTTTTTCGATGTCTGACAGGGCTTGAGCACGCAGCTGGGCAGCATGAAGCCTTTTTTTCAGATCTTTGCACTTGGCTTTGGAGGTGGGCTGACTCTCAGAATTCTCATCCCTCATGACATTCTCCTTACTCTCGCCACTGAAATGAACTTTCTTCTTAATTATCGAGGATGGGAGATCAAAAAGTGCTTCAGGAAGAAAAAGAAAAGTGATTTGAATTATTTGAACAGGAGTTCAACTCCTCCATGTTTATCACACTTATCAGTAATATTCTCTTTTAGTTCACATTTGAAAACTGGAACCTATCTTAGTTTCTCTGGCAGGTTAGGGACCTGTACGTGGTAAGAAATCAATCAGTCTTTTAACCCATTGCACTGAAAAAATAATCCTGGAATGTGCCAAATATCAAGAACAAATGTCTTATTCCCTTAACAATCAACTTTTCTCTTAAGGTTAAAGCACTGAGGATTAGGGGCCCAAATATGCAACTTCTGGATATCAACATCATTTATCTCTGTTCTTGAAAACAAGTGCCATTCTACCTAGAACGCATTGCTTCTAGAAAAGTACGGAAGCAGAAGCTCCTTCTTATGGAGAGCACCTACGGTGTTAGTCAACCATTCCAGACCACTGACTTCAAAGCCAATTAATCGACCAAACACTCTGCAAAAAGAAACTAAGCAAATTCAGGATAGAAAAGGTAAATCACGTAACAGTATAGTGAAAAAGGTGAATTATGCTCTTTGAAGCAAGTTAAAGAAAAAAAATTAAGAGGTAACACTATTAGCTATTGACAGACTACTTGGAGGTTGGGGACCTCTAAAATAAATTTAAAAATAAAGTAAATAATAAAATGTGAATTCCAGAGCCTTTTTATTTTTTGCTTTATATTCATTTAAAGGAAATAGGTTCAAACATTTATGAGCTCATTGTACGGGCCACTGTGGACCCAAGGCCCTATCCTACGCAGCCGGAGGAGACAGATCACGGACCAATAAACCGGCGTACGTGAGGGACACCTGTGGGTATGGGCTGTGGCGAAAAACGGTGCCGAGAGGGGGAACAGGAGGGCCGGAGGCGGTCACAGTGATGAAAGCCTCGTAAGAAGCTGACTCTGAGCAGAGACACGAGGAAAGCGAGGAAACAAGAGGCCACCAGGCTACCTGGAGGAACAGACTCCAGGGCAGAGAAGAAACACTGCCCTCCAACTGTCCCACAACTTCCTGCCTTCGGACACTGTTTCTGCCTCAAGGCACGCAATTGCTTTTTGCCTTAATTCCATTGTTTCAAACACACCCACCCTTATTACCACAAAGTACTTATGTAAATTGTACATCTCACTAATGGGATAATCCTAGAAGGTAAAGTGTTTAGAAAAAGAATTAGTATTTCATTAAGTAGAAGGAAAGAACTCATATTTCATTCAGTGGACTAACGACAGCTGTAAAAGAGAAGATGCGGCTGCTTATTATGTAGACTTTGATAGGATGCTCTTCTCTTGTCTGAATTTCACAGCCCAAGACACGGGGAGAGATTTCCAGCTGTTCTGGTTTCACAGTGGCATCCACTCCCACTGCTCTGCCGCTTATTTTAGGGCTCCAAATACTCAGCACTTTCTGTGCTCAGCACATTAAAATATCTCCTAGCCCCAAAGGGTACTCCATTCCTGTGGCTCCTTTTAAGTGTTTGCTGTGATTCGCATACAGGCGGACCCTATACCCAACTATGCGTCCTGTACCCAACTATGCGTCCTGCGGAGTGAAAGACTCCGTCCTTCTCTAGTGTTTTCATCCTTTGCTCATAGATTATCAAAGCAGGATGTAAACAAAGTCTTTCACTAGAAGAGCCACCCCTAGCAGGGCCTTTAGGAATTTTCATCAACAGGTTTCGCTCATGAAACCCATCCAGATAAAACTTTTTCCTCATTCTATCACTGTAATAATGGTTTAAGTCTATTTTTGTCTTTATGGATGATAGCGTGGAATCTCAGAAAAGCTGAAATAAATATTATAAAAATACTGGAATGGTGGGTAGAAATATTGAGGGAAAAAAGAAAATCTAAAAGAGTATCTTTGAACAGAGATGAAGCCCAGGCTTTATATAATCTTCGTTTCATTTACTTCTATTGCTCGTTTGAGTCCCATCACTTGTCTCTGTGAAGTTACTGTAACCCTTACACTACTTTCTGTCTGTTCTATTTACTAAACGCTGTCACCCTCACTGAAGTGACCAGACTCTCTCAGGTTAGCGCAGATGGGAGCAGGAGCCTTCACGCCGGCTGTCCTGCGAGGTGTGAGGGAGCCGTGAGGGCTCTGAATAAGTTTCACTGGAAAATTCAGATACTCAATTTTGAAAACCAACAAAAAACTTTTAAAAATAATTTCTGTGATAAAGAAATCAAAAGGAAAGATTGAATGCTTTGCATTTTTCGTGAAGGGTATGTTAAATGAGTGTTAGGGTCTCTGTGAAATGGAGAAAGCCTGTTGGCGTGGGCCCACCGGCATGTATACTAACCATATGTCACTAGAGCAGAGGGCTTGGGACACACCCCCACGAGACAGGGTCCTGGGAAGGCATGTGTGAGACCCTGTCTACACACACGCAGAGCACAGGTAGATACTAAACAATGGAATTTTGACAAATTCATGTTTCAATTTGAGTGGGTCTTAGTAAAGATCCAGAAGTGATGGCCTATTCTACAGTTGGCTTATCACACATTCTAAGCCATACTTTCCAGTAAGGAGGTGGCATCGTATTATTTGGGCTTGCGGCAGTAAGAAAATGTTAGACTCTTCCTTGGAAATGGAGAGAAATATAGACTTTGGATAATATACCTAGAGAAAAATCTGAAATGCACAGCATTTAAAAAAAGTTCTAATTTTAAAAAGTAAATATCAAATACTAAACACATCCCTTGTTTATAAGGTAAATAAACTTGAGGACTCATTGCTTCTGGCTGATGAAGCCAGTGAGTAAACCGTTGCTATAACAGTATGCTATTTCCATTGCAATGCATATATCCAATTAACTCCATCTTAACATATAAGATTTTGTAAATTAAAAGGGCTACCAAAGCCCCCGGAAGGCAACCCCGGCACTCTTTTCCTCCGGCGGCGGCAGCCCCCGCCCCAGAGCCGATTCCCATACCTGGCCCGCTGGCCAGCGAGAGGAGCTTCTGCTGCTTCAGCAGGCCGTAATTCTTCAGCAGGCCCTCCGCTCTGGCCACTTTGTCCTCGGCCAGTCTCTCCCGGACACAAAGCTCACGTTCCTTCTCTTTAGAAAAGGAGTGGAACAAGAAAAAAAAAAAATTAAACAGCTGGCTTTGGGTGTAAAACAATTTACATTTGGTAACCTTATTGTTTTTCCTAATCTCTAAGGCTGCCTTGCCTGAGCAGCGGTGCTTTGTGAAAGGTTTCTTCCTGTAAACCCAGGTCAATCCGACTGTGCTAGTTTGTAATGCAGTGTTTGTTGTATGTTGTCTTAGGTTTGTATGGACTGGTGTAAGCACAAGGACAAGGACAAAGTTAGCGTCAACCTTTGGTCAGGTTGTGTGGGAGTAACTCAATTGGGAAAACAAAAATCAATGATCTTCATTGGAAATGAGCAACAGTTCATCTTCCGGTTTTCCAGGTGTTACCTGGCCTCACAGTACAACCCCTCCTCCTTCTGGGTGAATGACAGCACCCAAACAGTGAGCTAAAAACCACAATTCAATCGGGAGCTACTTCTCTACATCAGTAACACAGGCCGCTATTTATTCATGGCCCAGAATGCAGCAAGTCCAGATTTCAGTTGCTAAATGAAATTACATACATTAGGGAAAATCGCAATAAAAAGCCTCTTTCTATTTTTTTTTTTTTGTCATTTTTACAGAATTCTTTTGACAGAAGAGCCCAAAAAAGGTCTCCAGGTAAGCATCAGTTGTACCTCTATGGAAAGCATCTGTCACATTACAACACGATTATCACAGGAGGTAAAATATTACCGAATGCATCGGACGCTTTGTAAGTACATTTAACCAGAAAGAACATGAAGTCTGCATTGGGCTTAAAGCCGCAAAGCGAAACCAGGTGAGCCCTGAGGGTGGCAGGAGACGTCCCTTGCTGCTGTGCTGCCTCGCATAAGTCTAAAACCTGGCAGCAGCTGTCACCTTAGTGGACTAGACAGACTTTCAACAACAGAAACTAACCAGCACCTAATCAGTAATTGCCATCAGGGTATTTATAAACCTAGAGTATCTCGTATCTCTACATTACTGAATTGCCTGAGCATATTTAGTCCTATATACCATGGGATTTTAGGCCTGGACTGTGTTAGATCAGCCATATCAGAAGGTAGAAGTAATGGTTATTATGGAAGGTAGCAAATTCTAAGATCTGCCCTTACAATGAAAATACCACAGGGTATATCTGTTAAGAAACAGAAAGTAACAATAAAGTATAACGGCTACATCAAAGTATAATGTATGTATTGAAGTATAAAAAGACTTAGTAAAGTACAGTGACTACTGTGTTAGGCACCTCCCAGGTGAGAGCCCAGCAGTGCAATGATAGCAACTGACCTCGGAGAAAGAGCGCAATGGGAAGATGCCAGAAAGCCTGACTTACATATTTTACAAATTACACTTTGGTTTCTCAAGTATTCATAAGACTGTTCTAACAAGGAATTCAAACAGATTCGCATGCACACCAAGGTCGCCCCCCCCCGCCCCCGTAGCCCCCCTCGCTCCGCCCCATCACGCAGACTCACGCTCGAGTCTTTCCTCTCTTGCTTTGAGGGCTCGCTCTCGTTCCTGCAATTGTATTTCCTTTAGTTTCAGCTCACTGAACACGCGGCTGGACTCCTGCAACTTTTCCGGTTCTCCTAACCATCGCCCCCTCCTCTCAGGATTTTTTCTTTGCTCTTCTGCAACCAGGTCTGCTATCAAAGGGCTCTCCAGAATTTCTTCAACAGAAGGCCGATGGTAATCCTGGAGAGAAAACGTTCAGTGCTACCCTCAGATTTCATAACGGAATACTCATCCTGAAAGAGCAGTGACGTTAAAACGGATGGGCCTTAACCACCTGGAAAAATAAGTTCACTGGTGACTTTAACTATGAGATTCTGGGTCCAAATGGTAATGCAGATTTTTACTTCCCTTTGCCTCCCCTTTAACCTAGAAGTTTCCACCCCCGTGCAGGTGCTCGGTAGCATTGCTGGGGTCTGTTTTAGGTCCCCTCTAAACTAGACTAAGCAGGATGCTCTCACAGACCTAATCCCATCACGTCACCTGTGTAAATCCCACAGCATTTAACTTTTCCATCAGCCCGATCCCTCGGACACCTCCCCCGCCATCCCATGGCCAGATTTTGCCCCCATAATCTCTGCGTTATTTCCTTGCTACTCCTTTTAGCCGCCCCCACTCCTCCCCTTCCTGCCCCTCACACACCTCTACCTCTGGTTTCTAATCTTTAAGTTGGAGCCAGAGGCAGAATAATAGAGTCTCATCTGTGGCCCCTTCCATACCATCTGCCACGTTGAGGTAGGCAAGGACAAGGGAAACCTGAGGGTTTGGATGCTTTCTGCGATCTTTTCTCGCTCCCAACCATCTGTTAGCGTGGCAGTGAGTGGGAGAAGGCAAAGAAAGCACAGAGGGGAGGCCAGCAAGGGCATGCAGTTTGCCAAATTTATATACGTTTTCACTTGTATTAACAGGGTAGATTTAGCTAAGGAAATATATTGAAGTTTCTTCAGTCTCATTGCTTTATGAGAGAGAACACATACTCTGAAACTTAACTGCGAGATAGAGACCAAATAATCTTACAATCTTTACCTTCAAATTTAACATCCTTGTAATAATGTCATTCAATTCATCAGAGTAACGATATGGAATTCGCCTGAATTTGCCTTCTCGGATCTTCCCAGCTAATTCTTTCTGGTTGAAAGCTGTAAATGGAGGCCTGGAAGGAAAAAATTAATGTAAAAATGAAAATATATTAGGAAACAAATCAAGAGCACAATTTAAGCTCCAGTTTCTATTTATGTTCCCACTTCATAGATTTTCTTCTATAGCTAAGTTTCCCAACCTTGGCACTACAGACATTTGGGGTCATATAATTCTTTGTTGTGGGGGCTGTCCTGTGCCTCTCAGTATCGACGTTTCTCAGCATCGCTGGCCTCTATCCACTGGATGCCAGCAGCTCTCCCTAGTGTAACAACCAAAAATGTCTTCAGACACTGTCAAATGTCCCATGGAGGGCAAGACTGCTTCCTCCTCCTGGTGGAAAACCACTGCTCTACGGAACAGCTTAGAAGGGAGAAAAATGAAAAGAGAGAGAAAATTGAAGTGCTTTCTTAGTCTCCAAATCGCCAGTCTTCCCCGGATCTTCGTTTCATCTCTGTTGCGGGCCTACCTATTTGCTCTCCCCCTGAGCTGGGCATCAGTCTAACAAGGAAGCATCTAACCAGGTTAGAAACTTGAACAAGTCAAGATCCAGCCTCAGGGGTTATATTATTAATAATTTTTTTACCAGTCCACATACCTTAATTTTAACCCAAGGTACTATTCTTTCAGACTTGAACGTGCATGGATGGTCAAGCAACCGAACCCAGTGAAAGGTGACGACCCTCTGAGTCCGGACCTCGACTAGAACTCTGTCTTCATTATACTTACATTAATGCACACAGTTCATACAGCAAACAGCCCAGTGACCAGATGTCTGATTTCTCATTGTAGGACATGCGACTCATCTGTTCCTTAAGGGGGGAAAAAGGTAAGAAAGTAGGAGGAATTAAAAGCTTATTTTGTCTTGAAACATATACTTTATCTTCAAATTCTTAATGGAAAAAGACAATGATCCTATCCTTATATACTTTGTCATATGTAATTCATTCACTTATTTTTCCTTCACAAATGTTTATTGATACTATAGGCGAAGCACTGATAATCAAAGGTGAGTATGAGAGACCTCTACCCTCATGACATCTGTAGCCTAGAAACTCCATTTTAGAAGAACCAGAGGAACTTCCAGAATAACCAATACATACAGCTAGCCCACATTTAAATGGATGTAGACATAAATGGCTAATTGAATTATTCAGTTATATTTTTTCCTTAGTCTACTGTATAAACGATACCATCTAATATTCTCGTTTCCTATTTTAATTGTGTGTCTGTCTTCCACACTTGCAGCAACAGTCTGCCGCAGCGCTTATCTCAGCAGAGGGCACAGACGCAAGTACCAAAACGTTCACGCGGCTCCTCAGTGTTTTAAAGTCCAACAGGTGAGTCTGATACCATTTCCTGGTGCCTCAGGGAAGGCTGAACAGATCCAATTACAAGGGCAGGAGGGAAAAGGAACAAAAGAATTGTGCAGGTTTCAGATTTTCCAAGAACCTCTTCTGGGATAATTTTCCTTTCTGTTAAAGGCGTTCTATTAGGAATTTGATCTAGTAAGAAAATAACGCTGTTCTGGCCATGTCTAATCTGAGTGAAAAACAAAATCATTAATACAAAGTTTTATACTATAGTCTTAACAGAACTAAAAAAGATTTAGAAAAGCCTGAAAATGTTTGTGACCTGCTAAAAAAATCAACTCCTCTCCACCTCTATTTGCTCAGATTTCATGTACAACCCGCGAGTGCCAACGCTTATTGATGCCAGCTCTCCAAAGCCATCAGGCAGGACCTGGGGAGCTGTAAATGGTTCATACCCTTCGACCCAGCAGTTTCATTCTGAGATCTCCCTGCCAAGGAAATAACCAAAAAGGAAGAATAGTTCATATGCATAGCAGTGCTCTTTACAATTTTGGAAACAAAATATTATCCAGCAATAGAGGAAACAGGAAAGTAGATAGACTGCAGCTCCCTTGTGGGAAAAGGCAACAACAAAGAATACAAAAAGTTAACACTGTAAAAACATGTTATCTGAAGTGACCCTTCTGAGCCCTGCATCTCCATGCATAAGAATCCTCTCTACGAGTCTGTTAAAATGCAGAGTCCAGACTGAAAAGTAGAAGGAAAACAGTGCGAGGACCTGTCCAGAGACCCGAATTCACTGGATTGGGGCTTGGGCCAGGACTCTGCATTTTGAACAAACACTCCAAATGAGTCTTGGGACCAATGGCACTTTGGGAAGCACCACTCTTGAGGCCAGAGACAAAACCTATTTCATCTTTGCAATCTCCAAATCTAGCGCATGGCAGTCATTCAGTAAAAGCCTGACGTGACTCGTGGATCTAGAGGAGTTTAATGGTCTGGCGATCCATTTGGAAAAAATATAAATTTAAAATGAAAGTGTTATTCATTCTTGGCTATCGGATATTACTAAACACAAAAATAAACTTCTCCTGCATTTGAATGCTTAGCACTAAAAGGTTTAAAGAGTATCGCAATCCTGAAATACTTACAGGAGACATGTAATAAGGTGTGCCAACAAACGTTTTTGCGAAACTCGTATCGTGATTTAATATCCTAGCTAGCCCGAAGTCTCCAAGCTTAACGTTTTGCTTGCCATCTAGGAAGACATTGGCTGGCTTCAGATCCCGATGTAGCACGGTGTGACCACCATCACTTCGTCTGTGACATTCCTTTAGGGCCAGAGTCAACTGAGTCATCACTCGAAGAACAAACTCTTCATCTAAGTACTGTCTGAAACCAAAGCAGTTACACAGCATGGAACTTCTAAACCAAACCATTACAAAGGTGGGATAATGAATTATCTAGTTTGCAAACTGTACAAATAGGGAGATATCATATTTTGATATGAAATATGGGTGTTCATTCACAAGGCATTTCCTAAAGTTCTGTGGACCCCTCCCCAAGCACCAGAACGCTCTTCCACATTACTAAGTACTTTCTTCCTGATGCCAAAATAGGACGCTTAACAAAAGCAAAAGCAGGCCCTTTTTCAGCTTACATTTAAGAGACTAACTTACCTGTCCTGGCTGCTGTAGCTCAATGGGTTGGATGTCAACCCACAGACCAAAATGTCACCAGGTTGATTCCTGGCGAGGGCACTCGCCTGGGTTGCTGGCCAGGTACCCAGTTGGGGGCCAGGTCCCCATCTGAAATGCCTCTCTTGCACATTATCTTCCTCTCTCTCCCCTTCTCCCTCCCTTCCCCTCTCTCTAAAAATAAATAAAATCTAAAAAATGTTTTCTTAAAAAATTAACTTACCTTTCCTTGGTTCCCTTTGTAATTATGCTAGCCAGGTCCCCTCCCTCACAATATTCCATCACAATGTACAGTGTTGTATTGGTTCGGTCAATAATTCGATCATAGTAACGGACGATGTTGGGATGTTTCAGTTCACGAAGCAAATTCACTTCGGAAACAAGCATTTGTTTCTCAGCTTCTGTCATGGAGCCATAGTCAAGTTCTTTCCAAACTAATATCTGAAATATGAATTTCCAAGGTATGAATGAATTCATGACACTCAAAAACAAAGAATGAGAGCTCCAAAATGTAAAAATTATAGAAATTACTTCTCTATTAAATAGGTCATAGAGTCATTATCATCTAATTTCGTCCAGTGAACTTAAGGACCCCTGAGTTTATTTCCAAAATCGTCCTCTAATTTTTAAGCAGGAAATAATGTAATGGGACAGAGGGAGATGAGGCACATTAGCCCTCCCCCTCCCCTCAGTGGCTTTGGGGGAGATTGGCAATGGCACTTTGGTCAAAGGTGAGACAGAAGCAAAGTCCCTGACCATTTCAAACAGCCAAGCCTTTCCAGGGTGGAACACCTGAGCCAAGATCCCTCCACCATCAGCCAGGCAGTTTCCTCTCTATTGTTTCCTTCTGAATAAAGCCTACCTACACACATGGGAAATATGATCCAATAATCAGAATAAAGAGTATCTTAAATGAGTTCTGACTGCAAAGCATAAAGCTTCAGGTTCTTGTGGCCTTGCCCCTTTCTCCTATCCAGAGCTCTACTCTTTAAAAATAGCTCAGAAACGCTGGCCAGGAAGCTCAGTTGGTTGGTTTGGAGGTCCTTCCAGGACACCAAGGTTCCGGGTTTGATCTAGGTCAGGGCATGCACAATAAGCAACCAATGAATGGATAAATAAGTGGAACAACAAATCGATGTTTCTCTCTCTCTCAAATCAATAAATCTATTAAAAATTTTTAATTTAAAAAATAAATTAATAAAAATAAAAATAGCTCAGGAGTCAACTACCTAGCACTAAGGGAAGGCCCCTTAGTATATCAAAGCAGGAAAAAGAGGACGGAAATGGGAGAGAAAGTGAGAAAGACAGAAACATATATATAGCAAAGGACGCAGTCTCCCCTCCCTAGAAAGACCCAGTACCGAGACACAGATCGCCGCTGACGGCTGGCGAAACCGCAGCAGGGGCGGGGGCAGGAAAGGGGCCCGCACTCACCTTACCGTCGCTCTTCCTCCGGATCTTCTGGCACCGGCCATAAGAGCCCGTGCCGATGGTGTGCAGCACCTCGTAGTCTTCCACCCGGGTCGGCATGGCAGGGATCGCCGCAGGACTTCGGCAGATCACGCCACAGGCGCGGAGCTGCGCCCCCCGGCCCGGACACCCCTCTAGGTCACAGCGCCTGCCGCCCCAGTCCCCAACCCGGTTTAACCGTCGCGGGCCCTGGCCTCGCAGTCTATTGGCCCACAGTGAGATGGCTCCCCCTCTCTGATTGGCTACGAGGACCACAACACCCTAGGCCTCTTGGGAAGTCGTATCCATAGGAACTGCGTCGGCGTCTAAGTCGGCGTCACCTTCCTATCACTAGGGAAAAAGAGGTGGAGCTAAATCAAAAGGAGGGCGGGGGATAGGAAGCGGCCTTTGGCGGGTCTCTTTGACTGGGCCCTCTGGCTGAAGTCGCAGAGGTAACCGAAGTCCAGTGACCTCTTCTCAGACTTTTTTGCACACTGGTTCAACCACCTGCTTTCTGACCTCTGCACTGTGACCCCTCTCCCAGGTTCCTGTACCCTGAGTCTGGGCGAGATCATGCCGAAGACTTAGTGAGAGCTGAGTCCAGAGATGAAAAGTACAGTCCCTGGCTGAAAAGTACAGGGACTTAAAGTTTACCCAGGTCCCTGACAGGTATGGCTCAGGTGGCTGGGCGTCATCCCACTAAGCGAAGGGTCACCAGCTCAGCCAGGGCCCGGGTGCGTATGAGAGGCAAACGACTGATGTTTAATCTCCCTCTCTTCCTCCCTGATCTTGTCTCTAAAAAAATAAAGTCTTTAAAAAAAATGAAGTTTACACATGACTTCTATGACTGTCATCATAGAGAAACTTCATTTTTGAACACCAAGTTCAGAGATCTGGTCAACATACAGAGGATGTGTAAAATCCCTCCAGACAGAATGTGTAAGCCTTTGACGTTTTGGGGTCCCCACGGGAATTGTGGTGGCTCTAAGGCAGAGATAGTCGGGTTCACCTTTAAGACACCTACCAAAAGAAAAAAAAACCCACGTACTAAATAGGTTATCCCGGGTGCTGCGCACATAACTGACAATAGTTCATGGAATGTAGCGCCTCCCGGAGTCACGGGGAAACCAGCGTTTCCAGCTCCCCCAGCCAGATGGAACAGTGCAGCTTTTACCTGGGAGAGGGCATCCGGAGGCCTCCCTCCAGGGTTAGGTGGAGAAATCTGACCGTTACCAGCAGACTAGGGATTTGGCAATGCATAAATAGGTCAACTTTCTTTAAATATCTGTTTGCCATGGGAACGAAAGGAACTTCATTTTCTATTAATAAGAATTACAAACCTCTTTATGTTAAAAATGAGACGTTTATTACATGCACTGAATATAACAATTGGAATTGCCAGCCAGGAGAATTTTTGAAGTAGCATTCAAGGGCACCGTCTTACCTCAAGGGAATAGGACCAATTTAGGTTTTAAAAGTTATGTAAGGAGCTACTACTGGCTAACATGCCATTTAATTGGCATTATATATTCTTTTATTTTAGTACCTCTTAAAAATTGACATCCGCGGAGCTCTTTGGCTGGCCTGCCCCATATCCAGTCCTTGACCTGCTCTCTGACCACTCTTCCGCTACTGTGCTTTGCCCCGATTCCCCAAACCCGGCACAGTTCCTCAGCCCCCACCGCCCACCACCTCCTTTGCATCTGTTATTCTATTTGTCTGGAATACTGTCCACCACCCCACTCCCTTATTTGCTCTTCCACGCAGTATATCATGTCTGTTTAGAGGACACACCTTATCTCTCAGGATCCATTGCCAGTTTGTACTCTGAGAAGACAGCTAGCACATGACAAGCAACTTCTTCATGTACATTGTTCACAGACCGCTTTGTATATAAATCACACTTAACTTGTTTATCACTACTTGTTTACATGGGTCTCAACTCGAAGTAGCTCAACTCTAAGCTTCTTGTAGCCAGCATAAGTCCTATAATAAAGGAGACATGCAATAAATCTTTGTTAAATAAAAATATGAAAAAGCAGTTTATTAATCATGCAGGATTTAGAGGAAGTCCTCAAGTACTCATGTTTTAAATGTCCCCAGCCCTATGGTAGAGGCTAAATATTGGGGAAAGGGCCATCCCCAGAGTATGGAGAGTGGCTCCTAGGATCACATGTTCGTTTAACAAATGTTTATTGAGCACTTACTATTCCCCAGGTGTCACAATAGACATTAATATATGCAGGGTGTTCATTAAAAAAGAGACAGTGGGGCCCTGGCTGGTGTGGCTCAGTGGCTTGAGTGTCGGCCTGTGAACCAAAGGGCTGCTGGTTCGATTCCCAGTCAGGACACATGCCTGGGTTGCAGGCCAGGTCTCCAGTGGGGGGCATGCGAGAGACAACCACACATTAATATTTCTTTCCCTCTCCTTCTCCCTCCTTTCCCCTCTTTCTTAAATAATTTTTTTTTTAAAAAAGGGGACAGTAGGGCCATGATGACAATGATAAAGAAAAGAGTGACATAGACATGGCATGACAAACTCTAGCAGGGGCGTCCAGCCTGCAGCCCACAGGCCACATGCAGCCCAGGATGGCTGTGAATGCGGCCCAATGCAAAATCGTAAGTTTACATAAAACATTATGAGATTATTTTTTGTGATTACACATCGCAATGTATTTAATGTGTGGCTCAAGACAACTAACTCCCCTTCTTCCAGCGTGGCCCAGAGATGCCAAAAGGTTGGACACCCCTGGCCGACGACAGGCCAGAGTTAGCCCATGTCACTGGGTGGGAGTGAGGGCAGGACAACTCAGCGGAGACCACTGGACACCAGAGTAGAAAGAGACATTGGTGGCCAAGGAGCATGTAGGGGTTAATCAGAAACACCCATCCCCATCACTTATAGAACCTCTTTTCTTCATATTTGGCCCCTTCTTTAATGCTCAGCTCATTCCCGGTTTTTTCCCTAAGATATTTCCTGACTGCCTTCAACCCACTGTGACCGTCTAAGAGAGCAATTACTTGTGTTATTCACTCATTTAGAATGTGCCATATCCAAGTCTGTATTACCAGCTTCTCCTGTACATCCATCTTACCTGACCTATTAATTTGATAACTCATCCCTCCCTGCCAGGTGCTAAAGATAGTCCAGTGAGTAGGACTGACGTGCAGTCCTGGAGGTGGAGGAGGCAAATGAACATGAGGTCACAGGGAAGTCCAACTGTTACCAATCGTGGTAAAAATTAAGAAAACAAACCAAGAACTGAGACAGAAACTGAGAAGTTTACATTTAAACAGGACTAAGGGATGATCTGCTCCATGAAGGTAGGGCGAAGGCTTGAAATTCTCACCCACGGTCTACTTCACTGTCTTTAACACAACTTTCTTTAGTTGTGTTAAACTACTAAAGTTGTGTCTTTAGCACAACTTTCATGCTAAATGTGCTCATGTTGTGAGTTTTAATTCAAAGTTGGTGAAATCTTAAAGAGATCATTTGCATGATATCTATGCTTTCTGCTTGCAAGTGGTCCACAGGTGTTCCTAGATACACCAACTTATTTTTAAAAGAAGCTACTTGAGCCCTGGCTGGTGTGGCTCGGCTCTTTGGAACGTTGTTCTGTAAACTGAAAGGCTGTGGGTTTGATTCACTGTCAGGGCACATGCGTAGGTTGTGGGTTCAGTCACTGGTCAGGGTGCATACAAGGGACAACCAACTGATGTTTCTCTCCCTTTCTTTCTCCTTCCCTTCCCCTCTCTAACATTAATAAACATGTCCTCAAGTGAGGTTAAGAAAAAAAGCAGCAGCAGCTACCTGAAGGACTAGAGGGCATCTACAACTTAGCATGACCAGAATCAAACTCCTGACATTTGCCCAAGATTTGTTCTACTGTCTTCATCTTAAGCAACTAATGCATACGATTTTGTTGTTTGTTTTCTTCCCTGCTGTATCTCCAGCACCTACAACGTGCCTGGAACATAGTAGGCTCTCAGTTAGCATTTGTACATTGAATGAAGGAACAAACAAAGCTATACCTCATTGCCCTCACCTTCCCTTCTTATGTTACATTAAAGACCCACTAGAGGGCTGTAAATAACCTCATAATAAACAAGGAGTCCGTATGTCCAAACCAGTCCACTGGCAGAGGCCTGTCCTTACCGGAAACTTTGAGATTTTCATATCAAGCATTTCAAATCTCAGATAAGTCGCTTTGTACATCTTGGAGCAATTTGAAGTCAGGGAATATAAAAATTCTTTAAAATGCTTAAAAAAGATTTCTAGAAAGAAAAAAGGAGAGATTCTTTGTTTATAGCAATCAGATGCTAAAGGATATTTTAAAAAGGTGTATGACATACTATGTGCTCAATAAATAACCAAATTCTAGAAGAAAGAATGTGGCGTTGTGGAGACTGGCCCTAATAGTGACGTGCCGCTTGATAGAAACAGAAAGACAAGATGTAAACTAAGAGACAGCTTTGGATTTCATGGCAGGCAGGTGATGGGAGAATATGTGAGAAGAATTTTATCTGTGAAACCAAATAGTGTTTAGTTCTGAGCCCCACCACATTTTACAGAGGGATAGTGCCGCAATTGCACCCAAGGGTACAAGTTCAGGGAAGGCTGACTTCTGTTACAAGGTTAAACTTTCCGATAAAGAGAGCCATTCACAAACTGTGTATGGGCTGTCATGATATTTGTAAATTCAGGATATTTGTTGTCTCTAAGCACATGGATAATATAAATCAGTTAAGAAGACTGTTAGAAGTAATCATAGATGCTGAGCCCATACGTGTTTCTAAGGGACTATGGAAGCTTTTAGAGAGCAGTCCCCATTTTCCCTTTGGGGGCAGCACAATGAAATTGTAGGAACAGTGGGTGCGAGGTCTAGGGACCCAAGTTCACTTACCTCTGTTTTGACAAGCTGTGTGATGTAGGGAATCTACTTGACGTCTCTGGGCCCTATAAAATGAGAGTGTTAAATTAGCTGACCTTAAAGGACTCTTCAAGCTTTACAACATGTTAGGATTCTATCCCCTCCTCCTGAAAATTCACGGGAACTGCTGTCAGAGCCAGAACACTGCTC